ATGGTGGGGAAATATACGCACGCATATATACACGCATGCTGACAGGAACACACCAAAATAGAAACAGATCCAAGAGCACATAGGGGTCACTAAAACATTAAAAGATTAAATGCCGATAACTACTCGCTGGACAAACCTTAATTGTTTTATGACCCTTCGCGCAGAACTCTTCATTGACAATTCTAGAAAGAAAATTCGGATTGCCAAAACACAAACAGAGAATGTCTCATATCGAGAACATTTCACATTGAACATGAAGAAAAATTAATTATTTTTAATAATATGTAGAAATCTCCACTTTTACCTGAAGACGGTCGCGAGACCAGAAACCCGTGTCGTAGTAAAATTATGTAAAACAAAGCATAATATTTTTTTCTAAATAAATCCACATTACAACCAAAAACGTTTGCGGCACCTCTCTTCTTTTTAATATATATATATATATATATATATATATATATATATATATATATATAATCATTTCACGCCAAGTAAGGCAATAAAGCCACTAGAATCCAAGACGCGACTGACTGTTAGAGAATATGAGAAAATGTACTACTGAGGAAAATGGACAATAAAAGAACAGGTATTAAGAAGACAGAAGATAGCGTTTATTTTTATCTTTTTAAGAAGATTACATTTAAATTTTAGAAGATCAAATTTGGCTGGGAAGCAAGAAAGAGGAAGAGAGTTCCACATGCGACAAGTGCGATAGAACAAAATGTTAGTATAGAACTTACATAAAACATAGAAACATACACACACACATATAAAGAAATGGACAAAGTCCGACAATTTATTTATTAAAGACATTTTTATGTTTAACGTTCTTTTTTATAGATACAAGTACTTAAATAAATGCTCTGTTTATAATAAACAGTATTAAATAACATTTACCGGTATGAATGTCCGAGAAATGTTTCATAGAAAATATTCGTCCTTTGACAGGATTCGAACCTGCATCCTATACGGAACAGTCATTTACGCTGACGTACCTTGACCGCTCGGCCACAAAGTAACGTTCGGTAAGCAAGGTTGAATTTACTGCTTATAAACTTCAATCTTCCATGAATCTCGTACATTCATAACTGCTCATGGCGTATCAAATGCAAACAAATTATGAAATGGACAATTTATTTATTAAAGTCATTTTTATGTTTAACGTTCTTTTTTATAGATACAAGTATTTAAGTAAATGCTCTGTTTATAATAAACAGTATTAAATAACATTTACTGGCCTGAATGTCCGAAAAAATTTTCATAGAACGATCTCAATGGTTTTCCGTAGAGCCCAAATAAAACTTTACCTTGTCGTCATATTTGATTTCAGGTTTATAGACTAACGATTTGGTCATACATCTGTCGCTTAATGGGCAGGATTTGTTTTTTTCGGCAGTTGCATTCCTTAGTTGCGGGGGATGTTGCTGTTTTGCAGGTTGTTGGAACGCTTGTTTATAATGGAACTCTATTTTTTATGAAAATCAATAAAGAAATTAATAAATTAATAAAATTTGCAGTGATAAAATATAATTAATATACTAATAAAAATAATACCTAACAATGAAAATAAAAATGATTTTTTTAAAAATTTATTTTTAACAGTTCTCTCTATTAACTTCATTCCACATAGAATGATAATAATCTTTTTCTATCTTTACGTGATCAGCTATGCCTGATTTCAATGTCTCTCCCCAAAGCAGATCAAAACCCTTCGGAGTCCTAGGCACTTAAAAGATTTTGGTACAGCATACATATGAAATCCACATATAAAATATAATAACCCATGAAATGAAATAATTTTCAAAATTAAAGAAAACTTATAATAAAATGGAAAATGATGTTTATTTTTTATACTTACATTTTATTTACAACTCAAAAATGTTCTCCTGCATTTTTTTTTAATTTCAAAGCCTTTAATAAGATCCTCAAAATTAACCTGACGTAACATATCTGCTTCTGTATTTAGCAGTGAGAAGGCATCCAGCCTTGCTACATGAGTGTTCTGTTGGGATGTTTAATATACTCTTTGATGAAGGGTTGATTGATAAATAAGTTCTTCAATCTTAGGAAACATGCTTTTTATATCTGACAGATTGAAGAACAACTTATAAATAAGAACATATAAATATTAAATAAAAATAATGAATAAACATAATAATGATATATTAAAAGCTTTGCTGGTAGTAAGACTGAAAGTAAAAGTAAGATAAAAACAATAATAATGGTTATATAGTAAAAATGGTCATAATAAGATACTTAAAATAAATTAGCATAAATATTAAATGCATTACAGTATTTCTATAGTAAAATAGCAAAAATATTATAGTAAAACATTAATAAAAATGTATAATTAATAATACCAGTACTAGTATTTGTGGTCCTCTGACCCGGATAGACTATATTAATCTGGATCAAAGTGCTTGAGTAGAAATTTGGTTCTAAGTAAGCAGGTGCTCATTAACTCACTTCTTTTGTTTAAGACATTTGAATTGTTCATATTTTTTAGGATCACTAATTTGTCAGAAAGACATAAGTTACAGCTATCGCCTTTCCCACTGAATAGTTTAGTTTTCGTTACGCATTCCCAGGTGATAGCTGGGTTTTTATTGTCGCTTTTCACTTTCCAGAAAAATGTATAGAGGGCAGTGTTGTTACTATATCCCATGTTGCCTAATGTCATTTGTTGGTGGTCGAAACGCGAATCTCAATGGTTTTCCGTAGAGCCCAAATAAAACTTTACCTTGTCGTCATATTTGATTTCAGGTTTATAGACTAACGATTTGGTCATACATCTGTCGCTTAATGGGCAGGATTTGTTTTTTTTTTCGGCAGTTGCATTCCTTAGTTGCGGGGGATGTTGCTGTTTTGCAGGTTGTTGGAATGCTTGTTTATAATGGAACTGTTGCGCTATAATAGATATTGGTCGATGTTTTTGACATAACTGTAGTTAACTTTGACGATATTTTTGTTGAAAATCTTATTTAGCGTTTGGAAATGACTAAAGTGGTTATGGATTAAATAAAAAAAAATCCGATATTAGTTTTGACATTTTTGCTGAAGGACGAGTTCAGCCATATTATATTGCGTTTGCAACGTTTTGGTTTGTTGACGTCATTGATGCTATTGGTTAAGATGTCGAGGTTAATTTTATGGTTACTATGTTCTAGTGCTTCTACATATCTGCCTTTATGTTTGTCCAAAATATCCTTATTGCTTGAGTTAGTGGACAGCCTACATTTAGTATTCTAGGATGGTGGTTACATTATTTGCTGATGTATCTATGGTTGTATACATAGTGTATGGTTTATAAATGCTAACAGATAGGTCAAATGTTGCACCCAGGAAATTGATTATGTTAACATTGGTGGAAATGCTCAGGCCGTGGTCTTTGAAGAATTTAATTGTTTTTTTTTCTTAGTCGTTAAAAGTCGACTATGAATAAACCTAATTAAAGGGAAAAAAGGTGGGTACAGTGGGGACAGAGGAAAGGATAAAAGCTGGACGGAGTTCAAGAGGATTGACGTTAATTTACATTTTTGAAGATTGTAGTTATCATAGAAGTAAAGAAACGGGAGGATTGTAGGTATCATGGAAGCAAACAAAAGGCGGGAAATACGAGAAAAATTGTTGGAGTAGAAATTGCGGTTACATTTAACAAATTCAACAGTAAAAGATCAGGGCCTAGATGACAATCTAGCAGCATGCTTTAACTCGCGTAGTCCAGGCACCAAGGGAAAATGCTGGTCAGTTGTTACGAAAACATTTGTGGAAAGGACCACGTCATGTCATGTCAGTGGGAAAGTAACTGAAGTTAAAATGCCAAGTCAAGATCGATTATATTGCAGATCCCTTTTGGATCTTGTTATATATATATATATATATATTCATTTATAGTAATTTGTCGACTGTAGAAATATCCTCAACAGAATGCAGAAAGCACTGCTATTTTGGGACTCATCAGCAGTGCGCATCCACTAGCGAGAATCGAACTCGGAACGTTACGATACAAAGCAAGCGTCATACCACTTGACCAACAGGCCTCGGAGACGAAGAAGAAACTGACTAGACTCGATATAGCGCCGCTACTTACTAAATTCCCTGGTGATACTCCACCAAGTATACATAACCCAACGGATTGTGCCCCAAGAGCCACGTCTTCTTTCACCAAGCCTCTCCATCCAGATCATTACAAGCTGGATTAAGCAAGGATATTCATATAAGTGCTTTTTGCATTCTGTAGAGGATTCTTCTAGACTCGATGAATTACTATAACTGATTATTCAAATGCCCCTCCCCCAAAATTTTTATCACTTATATATAATCCGTTGGTATAATCCAGGCGAGTCCTATTAACACAAAATAGAATCTGAAATATGTTAAAACTGACTCACAAAAGAGCGCTCAATTTTTATTCTCATTAAACAGAGCAAATTTTCTTTAGAATTCGAATTAAGATACTTTAATTAAGGTATCTTAATTCCAATTATAATATATATATATATATATATATATATATATATATATATATATATATATATATATATATAAAGGTAAATAATTAATAATAATGTTTTTTATGAAAGTATTTATTTATATTTGATATTTAAGATCGACCTCGATCTTTCTTCAGCTGAAGAAAGATCGAGGTCGATCTGAAATATCAAATATAAATAAATACTTTCATAAAAAATTATTATATATACATAAAGAAAGTATACGTGGCTTCTCATTATGCTATATATATATATATATATATATATATATCGGAAAGTAGCAAGAATGGTTTAGTGCAACGCCCCCTCCAAAAAAAAAAAAACGCAGGAATTTGCATTATTTATATGCAAACTAATGTCCCCGTATTCTTGTTGAAAAATATGAGGACAATATTCAGCATGTGAATAACTCCTCATCCCAGAAATTCAGATGTCAAAATAGGAAGTTGTCGATAGCAATCATTATCCCGCCTGAAAGATCATAAGTCATAGAGCGAGAAGGAGAACCTATATATGTCTATAGGAATTAGATAGATAGATAGATAGATAGATAGATAGATAGATGAGCAATTATTGTCTCTAAAAATGGAATCGGAGTTCAAATTCCAGCCCAGGTTGTTGCGTTCATTTCGAAGTAATTCTTTGATGAATGTATGGCTACAATTCTTCTTTTCTTCGGTATTGGTAAAATAGAAATCAGACTAGACTCTCTAGCCTTGAGAAATCAGCCAGTCCAAGAGAAACACTGCCCGGATTTTCAAGGACCCTTGCTCTCATATCGTGAGCCAACTCGACTAGGGTTGGCCTATTACCCACTCACTGAAGCGTGAAAAGTGTATTCGCTGCACGAAGCTTCTACTTGAGCAATGACTGCAACGGTTGTTCCACCTACTATTCTTGGATTCACCTTGCCGCTGGATCCGACGGTGGATGTCAAGAGGATGGGGTCTGGACTTAAATCCACTGAGGCACACGTTGCTGGTGATGAGAAACGAACTGCATTTCTCTTGAGAGAGCGATCGAACGATTTCGTTTTCCTTCTATCACCTCGTTGTTCCCTATAGATTTATGCAGCGTATTTTCGCTCATTCTTCTAATTCTCTTCATTTTCATCTTTCTTCTTCTTCGTGCCGTGCATCTTCAGATAATCAATTCTTTTTTCTTCTCATTATTATTATTATTATTATTATTGTGGTTGTTGTTGTTGTTGTTAACTATTGTATCCGTGCCGTCACGAATGACAGCAATTGTTAGAAACCTTTAATAATGAGATGTAAAGAAACAAAGGTCTTGAAACAATGTATTGAGATCTAAAAATCACAACTAAAATAGAGGCCAATGTCTTTGTTTAATTAACCCGACCACGTTATATTTTTTAGACATTCATTGATATCTATGATTCATTGATTACTATGTGAATCACATTTTTCTCCATAACTTTTATGTTAACAATTTGATGGGTTTAGTATAACAGTGATTTTTTTTTCTTCTCTTACGTTTATCCTTTCTTCTTCTTCTTAATTTTCTTCTCTTACCTTTTCCTTTTTTCTTTTTCTTAATTTTTCTTCTCTTACCTTTTTCCTTTATTAGTTTTTCTTAATTTTTCTTCTCTGACGTTTTCCTTTCTTCTTCTTAATTTTTTTTCTGTACCGTTTTCATTTCTTCTTTTTTTCTTCTTCTTCTTAATTATCTTCTCTTACCTTTTTCCTTTCATCTTCTTAATTTTTCTTCTTAAATTTTCTTCTCTTACCTTTTTCCTTTCTTCTTCTTAATTTTTCTTCTCTTACCGTTTCCATTTCTTCTTTTTATCTTCTTCTTAATTATCTTCTCTTACCTTTTTCCTTTCATCTTCTTCGTAATTTTTCTTCTTAATTTTTCTTCTCTTACGTTTTCCTTTCTTCTTCTTAATTTTTCTTCTCTTACTTTTTTCCTTTCATCTTCTTCGTAATTTTTCTTCTCTTACATTTTTCCTTTCTTCTTTTTATTATTTTTCCTCTCTTACCTTTTTCCTTTCTTCTTTTTCTTCGTAATTTTTCTTCTTTTACCTTTTCCTTTCTTCTTCTTCTTCTTCTTCTTCTTCTTCTTCTTCTTCTCTGTTCTCATTTGTCATATGATATGACAAAATAACTACCTATCATAACTGCTGACGTTGAACTTACAAAACCCAAACGACCCGATCTCATACATGGCGGCATTCCATGAACGCTTGGAGGCTTCATCACTCTTTTGACAGACTGGACGACTCTACTTCGTTTAGAGATACAAGTTTCCTGTCACAGTTCTTCTCCATGTTATTCCAAAATCTATGATTCGTTTATCTCCATTCCGTTTCCAACTCACTGTCATTTTCTGTTCAGCCAGAAAACATGACATTCTCTTTTAATCTCGGTTTTGAATGTTTGCTTCTTCCGTTTTTTGTTTTTTTTTTCATTAAATATTTGTCCGTGCCAAGCAAAATTAACGTCATGAACTACGACATTGCAATCTATGACACATTTTACTGACTTTATTTGGAGATATGCACTCCGACAGCCATTGATGTGCGGATGGTGTAAGGTTTTTCTTTTGTATGTGCCGTGTCACACAACTTCCTGTTCTTAATAAATTTTGTCGTTTTGTTATTTCTCCAAAACCCTGTTCCTCCATCCATTTACTCAAGCTTCTTCTTCTTCTATGTGCCATGTCTCTACAGAACAATGACGATCATGACTCTCCACTATTTCCTGTCCGTCGTAGTTCTTAATAAATTTTGTCGTTTTGTTATTTCTCCAAAACCCTGTTCCTCCATCCATTTACTCAAGCTACTTCTTCTTCTATGTGCCATGTCTCTCCAGGACAATGGCGATCATGACTCTCCACAATTTCCTGTGCGTCGTAGATCTTAATAAATTTCGTCTTTTTGGTATTTCTGCTAAATCCTGTTCCGCTATCCATTTACAAATGCTCATTCTTCTTCTTCTTCTTCTTCTTCTTCTTCTTCTTCTTCTTCTTCTTCTATGTGCCGTGTCTCTTCAGGACAAAGGCGATCATGGCTCTCCACAATTTCCTGTCCGTCCTAATTTTAATAAATTTTGTCTTTTGTTATCTCCCTAAATTCTGTTTCGCCATCCATTTACAAAGTTAATTCTTCTACTTCTCTGTGCAGTGTCTCTTCGGGACAATTGCGATCGTGACCCTCCACAATTTCCTCTCCGTCATAATTCTTAGTAACTTTCGTGTTTTTGTTATCTTTCCTAAATTCTCTTCCACCATCCATATACTCAACGTCATTCTTCTTCTTCTATAGGCCGTGTCTCTTCAAGACAGTGGCGATCAAGACTCTCCACATTTTCCTGTCCTTTGTAGCTATTAATAAATTTTGTCTTTCTGTATTTCTCTTAAAACCTGTTCCGCCATCTATTTATTCAAGTAAAGTTTAGTTGCTCGTAATGAAAATACAGAGAGCAGAGTTCGAATTCCAGTCGAATTTGTGACATTCACATACGCACTGTCGTATGTATGACGATAAACCACATCCGGCATTGTTCCCTGGTCTACCCTGATCCGCGGTGGCAATACCCCTTAGGATCCCAGCTATGGGCAAATACTGACCCCCCACCCACAAACAAGAATCATCAGTAAATTAATAGTAAAATTACCAACAATACATTTTATGATCTATAAACTATATATATAAAACACATTCCTTTTACTTTGAAAGTATAAAATTATGTACAAAATATTTAGATTTCGGCATTAAATAACCCATAGAGGTGTTGATATACCGCTAGACAAAATCACCCAACCGACAATACATATTTATAGTAAAGTGACCAACAATAGATTTCATCTGTAGTTGAAGGCATACAATTTCATTCAAAATATATTTAGTTGAAGCCATGTAATTGTGTTCAAAATATTTAGATTTCAGCATTAAAAAACCCATAGAGGTGTTGATATGCCGCTAAAGAAAATCACCCAACCGACAATACATATTTATAGTAAAGTGACCAACAATAGATTTCATCTGTAGTTGAAGGCATACAATTTCATTCAAAATATATTTAGTTGAAGCTATGTAATTGTGCTCAAAATATTTAGATTTCATCATTAAATAATCCATAGAGGTGTTGATATGCCGCTAAAGAAAATCACCCAACCGACAATACATATTTATAGTAAAATGACCAACAATACATGTTTAAAGCAAAATGGACAACAATACATTTTATCTGTATATAATTGCGTTCAAATTATATTTAGTTGAAGCCCTAAAATTGCGTTCAAAATATTTAGATTTCGGCATTAAATAACCTAGTCCTGGGTAGGACTATAAATCTCATACGGCAGCATAACATCTGATCGGGAGATTGGATGATTTGACTAGCATGAAACAACCACTTAATTGGTGTTGTTCCTGATCCACCCTGAGCCGGGGTTGTATCACCAATTAGGTCCCCATCTATGGGCAAATAAAGATCTCCAAAAACAAAAGAAGTATAAAAATACATTATTATATTAAAAATACCAACAATAAATTTTTATATAAAAAATGGTCAGTAATACATGTAGCAAAATACATTTTATCTATAGTCGAAGGCCTAAAATTGCCTTCAGATTGTATTTAGCCATAAAATTGTGTTTAAAATGTTTACATTTTGGCATAAAAGATAACAAAAAGATAAAAATTATTAAGAACTACAAAGAACAGGAAATTGTAGAGAGCCATGATCGATAACACCCTGAAGGGATACGGCACTGAGAAGAGGGCCCAATAAATAACATTCGAAAAGTTTGTACATTGTCGTTGAGATAGGAGTATATTCCTCACTCGTACTGGAGGCTAATTTTAAAACCCGGATTTTGAAAGCTGATACTCAAGAAAAAGACATTCACTACTTGAAAGTTTGTCATAATATAATTATTCTAATACTTTTTTTCTAAAACACGTAATGTTTATAATGTTTATATACGTACATTATATATTTTCCAAAGGTTGTTATAGCCGGGAGTGATAGTGGGGGACAAGCTCCCACTTTCTATAAAATGCTACCATGGTATGCGTCTCAAATAGCCTCTGACAAATAAGTCCAGCTCCAAGCCAGAGAATGAGCGTGGGCAGAAAATCTGGCACCTCATAACCAGCTGCTTCGGGTAGACAGAGCTCCACATCCCAGGAAGGACCCTGATTTTGAACCCCCGCTGACTAGCAGGCATATCCAAAACACGGATTTTGCCTATGGAAGTAGGTCTAGACGGAAAAACCCGGAGTGGAGTCCCGAAGATGGTTGGTTGTCAACACTAACAACTTTCCTGCTGCCAATCCGTCCCAACAATGATTGGCCTTTGAATTTCCTTTGTATCTTGCTGCTACGGTTGAGAGGCGGGCATGTAGTCTCAGCTGCACGGATCAATATACCATCGCCCAGGTCTGCGTCCTTTCCCCACCAATTGACTAAATTTTGACCAAACAAGTCACTACATTTATTTCTCGAGATAGACGAATGCCTACTATATATCATTTCTATGAAGACACCATTATAGTGTGATAACGGTTAGAAGGTTCGTTTTGCAATAATGAGACGGGCTCGGAATGCCCACGTTAAAAAGGCCTTGTGCCACATGACACCCTTGTGGGGGGGTGACTCAATATCGTGAGACCTGGCCTCACACTATGGTCGATTTGTCAGGAAGACGACATCATCATGTCATCGACCCGTAGAAGTGATCCCAGCTTGCCTTAAAACCATACCACTCCTTGTGAGTGAAATTGGGTAGATGGAACTGTTTGGAAGCTATCGACTTGCGGCTCCCTGCTAGCTCTACAGATAGAACGAAGTCGCAAGGGTTTGAAAACGCTGGCCTTGTTCAGGCTGTTGATCACGCCAAATAATGCGCTCCTAAAAACTGTAACTAAGGTTCGGTCAGCATAGTTGCAGTATTGTTCTGGTCCGGTTCCTTGTACCACAGTGATAGTCCAAGGTAGAACCAATAAAGAAGAACTCGAATACGGATATGGAATAACACATATATTACAAACAGGAATATATACAGAGAGGTAGAAAAGTGTTAGTACGAACAATCAGGTTTAGGAGTAATTGTCTGAACGCGACTCTGTTTCGGACTGCCTCTGACTCGACTGACTGACTCGCTATGACTGACTGACAGACTCCTGACGGACTTCACTCCAGGCTACAGACTGAACAGTATTTAGTCCCCCCACCTCAACGAGGGCATCATGTGGCACACGGCCGGTTTAACGTGGGATCTCTGAGCCCGTATGGTCGGCCAAAAATATGCCCTTTGAACCCGTATAAACGGGTTCAGGGTCAGTTTACCTCCCCGAAAGAGACTCCGCCCTTCGGCGTAGCCTCGTTCGGGTTCCTCCCCGCCCGAAGGCAGAGAGTTCAACCGATCAGCCGGTCAGCCGTTCGCCCGACTTCAGGCTGAACGGTATTTAACCCCATACCCCCCACTCCCACGAGGGCATCATGTGGCACAAGGCCTTTTCAACGTGGAATTTTCGAGCAGGTGCGCCCGGCCAAAAATATGCCCATTGAACCCGTATAAACGGGTTCAGGGTCGGTTTACCTCCCCGAAAGACAATCCGCCCTTCGGCGTAGCCTCCTTCGGGTTTCTTCCCGTCCGAAGGCAGAGAGTTCAACCGATCAGCCGGTCGCCCGACTTCGGGCTGAACTCCCTGCTTTCTCTTGAGGCGCAGTATTTATTACGTATGGAATAGTCCATTATGTTATTATGGGTAAGGTCCCATACGTATGGAATAGTCCATTATGTTATTATGGGTAAGGTCCCATACGTATGGAATAGTCCATTATGTTATTATGGGTAAGGTCCCATAACAAGTATAAACCATGGATAGGCTCTCTGTGTGTGTTGAACAAGCACAAATATGCCTGAGCGACAAAGATTGACTAGCCGCCCCAACAGACAGATAAATTCGGATACGAGCAGCGAGATATTACATTACCATTAAAGTAAAAATCAAGCATCCCATCTTTTGACGTGAATCACGCTTTGTCTCGTTAAACCAAATTTTGTTCGAGAAATGAATATTTTTTTGATCCTGTCGGCTAACCATGTCAGAGTAGAAGTTATTTAATTCATATAATTATCATAAGCTAAAAGTCGCGCGTTATATTTATCTTATAAATATATATCCTGAAATGTTTATTGTTAATAACAATTTTATTGTGACAAAAAAAAAATCAAATAGACAATATTGTCTATCCGCGATAGCAAATAGAAAAACCAAAATAAGAAAAACGTAAAACAAAACAGACTTTGTTTTGGAAGAGAGAGAAGAATGAAATAAAAGCGGCCATTGAAATAGATCGATAGAATCAAGATGGCTGTTTGCACGAATGAAGAAACCTCAAGACGGGATGCCACCAAGCAAAAGTATTTGTTTATGCGCCCACTTTGTTCACAATCTGACAGACAGACAAGCAAAATAGCTTTGGCTTGGGAATTAGAATTTTTTTTTTTTTTATCTGACCATCAAATTTAAATCACTCAGCAATGATTAATAATTATTATGAGAAATATTTTATATAAAAGAAACCTCCAGTCCGAGTGAGGAATATATTCCTATCTCAACGACCATTTAGAAACTTTTCGAATATTGTTTATTGGGCTTCGTCCTATTCTCAGTGCCGTATCTTTTAAGGGTGTTGTAGATCATGGCTCTCTACTATTTCCTCTTCGTTGTAGCTCTTAATAAATTTTGTGTTTTTGTTATCGTTCCTATTTCCTGTTCAGTATGAGCACTGGTAAAAAATAGTTGCTGAAGACATTAGGTTTATAATACCTAGAAATTCATACACAAATGTCCTCAAGGGCACATGGCACAGTGGATAAAGGCGTTACTTAGATCCTGGACCCAAAGTGTGTGATTTCAATATCTCGTTAAGAATTTGAAGTAGGGAATTAACAAGGAATAACTGATAACTAACATCCATTAGACATGGCATTAGGCATGTCTAGAACAGTCTACCCCAGTGAGCGAAATAAAGGGTTCAGTTCGGCATTCCAACCATCTGAAGAAGCCCGGAGCATACAACGGCTGAAACATTGTGATAAATATGGCAACAAAATAATGTAAATTATGCAAATTAATTGAAACAACCGCTTTAGTTTTCTTTCTTTCAACATATGGTCAGTTTTAGACCCACTGGAATCACAGGATATAATTGATTACTATTTTTTCCTCAGATTAGGACATTTGCAGTAGTGTACAGTAATATGCATCGATTTTCGGGTGTATGATAAAATTTGTTTGGTCATGAAAAATATTGCGTCATCCATGATTGCATCAGATTTACATCACGCCCAGACATTATTGTCTCGACTGTCGATTAGTTGTGCCACGACCATTCTCTGCAATTGATGTTACTCTAAAGAAGCATACAAAAATTGAAAGGCTGCAGGAACACAATGGCAAGCTTTACCAGTGACAAATCAAAGTACTATAGACTGGCTCGCAAACTCTCCTGATTTAAATCCAATCAAGAATCTGTGGTCAATCTGAAAGGAAGGAGTTCGTGGAATGGACATACGAAGTACTAACATGTGCACTGGGTCATGTGTCATTAGAAAACATACGACAAAAAGTAAATAATAACGGAATTATTCGCTTTGTTTCAATTAATTTGCACAAGGGTATAGATAGATAGATAGAGAGAGAGAGAGATAGATAGATAGATAGATAGATATGAAGATAGATAGATAGGTAGATAGATAGATAGAGAGAGATAGAGAGAGGGATAGATAGATAGATAGATAGATAGATATGAAGAGACTGAGAGAGATAGATAGAGAGAGAGAGAGAGAGAGGGGGGGATAGATAGATAGATATGAAGAGACTGAGATAGATAGATAGATAGATAGATAGATAGATAGATAGATAGATAGATAGATATGAAGAGACTGAGATAGATAGATAGATAGATAGATAGATAGATATGAAGAGATGGAGATAGATAGATAGATAGATAGATAGATAGATAGATAGATAGATAGATAGAATGAGAAAGAGAGAGAGAGAGAGATTAAGATAGATCATATTCATGGGTATATCTGTACTGAGTCATGTTTCATTGGAAAAATACGAAAAAGTAGATAATATTGGAATTATTCATTTTGTTTCAATTAATTTTCAGATTCTTTCTTTTTATGTGCCGTGTCCTTTCAGGACGTAGACAATCATGGCCCTCCACTTCCCCCTATCCCTTGTGGCTTTCAACAGGTTTTGTGTTTCTGCCAACTCCCCAAGACCACGCTCCGCCAACCACCTGCCCAAGCCCGCTACGTATGATCGCGCTGCTTTCCCCTGTCTCTTTTCCCCTCTATTTGTCCCGTGAGTATCAGATTCTCTAGGCCCTCCTTTCTCATCACTTGTCCCAGAAATTTCATCTGCTGCTTCCTTATGTTAAGTATAAGATTCCTCTTTTTTTGTATCAAAAATATTTCTAAAATTATAGTACCTATATAATAATAAATGTCTAATCTTATATGTAAGTATGAGTGTCACCGATATACCTCTTAAACGATACATAATACCCCAAACAATTTAAAGGCATATTATGCCTTTGACCTATGTTGAGTGCAGTGCCAAATTTTATTAAAATTATACAAAGGATTCTTGAACTAGGGTCATTTTTAAATAGGAAATTCAGTATTTGTTTTGATACATATTCTTAAATCAATCCGCGTACTACACTACACATATTTCGTCTTCGTATTTTGCCTATAAATAGAAAAATTGGGCCCTGAAGATGACAATTTGAAATTGTTGAAAGTACTTGGCTCGTCAATTCCATCTTACAACAACTCAAATATACAACAACTGAAATATAATGATCGAGTTATTCAAGGAGTTCATAGTAAGTCAATGTGTCATTAAGTCTTGTTACCGAAGTATTTCGCCATTAATCTCATTACCATTGCTAATCAATTCTTTGTATGAATTACTTTTTCATGACATAATATTGCTGTACATTCTAATATATTTACGAAAATAAGGTCTTGTAGTACGTAAATTCAGAATCTTAAAATCTGTGGAAAAACACTAAGACATTTCACTCTGCAAATTGGATTAAACTTAAGTCCAAGCCACTTTTCACTGAAAACATAACAAACATTAATTTTGTATAAGTTACTTCTTATGATATAATATAAAAGCTGAAAATATATATATATATATATATATATATATATATATATATATAATGGACTCTCCTGTCGATTTCGACGTATGAGTATCTGACAACTTAATTGATTCAGTTAATTTTGTGTGATAATCTTAAGTGGTACTTAAGACCCGCTAGTGATTTACAAAGGAAGCCGCATATGGAGAAAGAGTAAGGATTGTGGGATGAGATCACTGTTAGATTGGCTGACCTTTTAGATCTTGAAGACGATTCAGACAAACTGATTAAAAACTGCTGAGTCCACTAAAACACGTTGATTTCGATTCTATCCGCTCCAAGGCTAAGCGCTCGAAGGTGTTATGTGGTATATTGACTGCTGACAAGTTGCTCTTCAGCTTGTCTTTGTATCTTAGCCATGGGCGTCCTACATTCCTGTAGCCCTGATCTAACATTAGGATCTTTAGGGTATCCTGTCATCAGACATTCTCAAGACACGACCAGTCCAGTGTAACTGAGACTGTATGATAAAAGTCTCGATTCCTCCAATATTACAATTGTTAAACAGGTCTACGTTAGATGTCTTCTCTTGAATTTGAACAAGGGTGCAATTTTTTATTTACAGACCAAGGCGAAATATGTGTAGTTTAGACGGAAAGATGTTTTTTTTTTTAAAATATGCTCTTTATTGACAGTTATATTATTTTGGATTGAAAGACCTGTAGCCCGTTAGTGAATTAAATAGATAATAAAATTATTGATATGGGATGAATAGAGATTTTAGGCGGTCAGGGTTTATTTAGTTTAAATAAATTAATATTTAATTGCTTAGAGCATTGAGTAGGTTTAATGATTGATAGCTATATAATTGTATTTGTAGTGGCGTGTTTAATATTAATTTATACAAATAATGAATGTTTTAAATATCAAAAAGTACTATTAATATAGTAATTTTAAATTGACAATTTAATGTTATTAACTTTTTGTTAATCTATTTTATTCAGTTTAAAGATCCTTGATTTCATTCATGAAATAGTCCTATTAATAAAATGATTAAGAAAATGATTGAGCTAGTCAACGGTCAGTGTGTATTAGAGTTCATAATGTTTATTGTTAGGGGTATTAAAAGGATAATTTCAACATCGAAAATTAGAAAAATGACGGCTAGTAGGAAATAATTGTATTTGTAGTGGCGTGTTTAATATTAATTTATACAAATAATGAATGTGTTAAATATCAAAAAGGGTATCTTCCTTGAAAACTGATAAGTGACATCCATTACATATATGGAAGTTAGGGAGGTCTGATAAGATTTACTTACAAAGTTGCTAAAGACAAAAAAATCACACTGACTTGTAGTGAGCATTCAAGCCGAAGTATCTCTCATGATTTTCATTAATCATTTCACCGCAAGCAAGGTAATAAAGCCTCTAAGATTCAAGTGGTTTCTGAGTGAGACCTTATAAAATAGCCGGAAAAGAGTTTCACAAGTGAGAAGAGCGATAGACATTTCAAATGCAAAATAATGAGACCTTGCCGCCAATCAAGTACTGAGCTTTAATTCGTGAAGTCTAGATATCATAGAAGAATATTCATCAGAACAATTACCATGAAAGTATTTATAGAAAATACGGGGGAAGCAAATCACTGGATCTAACCAATCTTTGGGTCCTCTCACTGGATCAAACCAATAAATAGATAAAGGCGTTGGTTAGATCCAGTGACAGGACGCAAAGAGTTGCGAGTTCAATACCTGGTTAAGGTAGTGGAGAACTTGGAGAGGGGAATTAACAAGAGAAAATTGATAAATGACATCCATTAGATATGGTACGTGGAATTGAACAGTCTACCCCAGCGAGCGAAATAAAGGGTTCAGTTCGACATTCCAACCACCTGAAGAAGGCCGGAGCGTAAAACGGCCGAAACGTTGTGATAAATATGGCAACAAAGATGAGGACAATAGTCCGAATAATGTAAATAGTGTAAGTAAATACACGTTTAATGTTCTTTTCGGAGTAATAAGAATTAGTCGATGACGCATTTAACAGAGCGTTCTCCATTTTGTTGCATTTAACATGATGTTGTCGGTTGATGCATGCTGTAGTCATTGGCGGACATGATTTGCATTCATTTTATCATGAAAGGAATTTTGGATGGAATTATTCATATTACTCCCAAGAATACGTTAGCTCTCATTTGTAGCGGCTTTGTGCTTTTGAGGACTGAGGAGCGTTATGCTGGACATTATTGATTCACTGGCGTCGGTATTGGGCTATTCCCTTGATTTTCTATTCATTTCCTGTACGAAAAAGAGAAAGAAACACTAGATTGGTCCTCCGATATATATATATATATATATATATATATATATATATATATATATATATGTTCGCAACGCCTGTGACTGATAGCAACCAAAAATCAATTAAGCTTTGATTAGCCAAGGCTTTTTTTAAATCATTTTGCTACAAGCAAAACAATAAAACCTCTATGGCGCAAGAGATTATTGGGTGTTAAAGAATATTAGAAAAATATTATTTTTCAAAGAATAATCTGCAATGATATGAGTCTTGATATGGCATCTCGGATTTAAGCTATTTTCCACCGCCGTAACGTAGCTTTCCTGTGTCTTTTCTATAAATACTTTCAACGTAACTGTTCTGATTAATATTCCTTTCTTGTACTGAGACTTTATAAATTTAAGCGCAGTACTAGGTTGGCGGTAAGGTTTCAGCTATTTACAGTAGGAATGTCTCGATGTAACCGTAAAATCTATGCTCGCAACTTTTTCTATCACACTTCTTGCTTGTGGAACTCACTTCCGGCTTCCCAGTCATCTATGATCATCCAATATGCTTGAAAGTTTGGCGGGCTTCACTCTTCTGAAATTTCTCGGCCACATAATGGGAAAAACGGGTTTGGAGATTTTGACCCTCATGGGTCATATCAAAAGCTAAAAGAGCAGCGGACCACTAGCTTTGATAAAGGAACGAACATTCCTGAGAACTATAAGGGATATTGTGGAGGGCCGTGATTGTCCATTTCCGGAAGTGATATGGCACGCAGAGGAAGTAGATTGTTGTTATCTGAAGAAAACTCTTACAATGCTTGAAAGATCTTTCGCATTCTTGCTGTGTCTCAGGAGAAAAAGAGAGAATGCGAGGTAGAGAGAGAATGAGTGGGAGAGAGAATATGAGAGAGAGAATGAGTGAGAGAGAGAATGTGTAAGAGAGAGAGAGAGAATGAATGAAAGAGAGTGTGAGAGAGAATGAGTGAGATAGAATAAGTGAGAATGAGTGAGAGATAGACAATGAGAGCGAATAAGTGAGAGAGAGAGAGAGAGAGAGAGAGAGAGTGAAAGAGAGAAGATCAGTGAGAGAAGGTATGTGTGAGAGAGAATGGGAGAAGGAGAGTGAGAGAAAGGGAGGGAGAGTGACTGAGAGAGAGAGAGAGAATCACCGAAAGAGTATGACAGAGAGAGAGAGAGAGAGAATAAATGAGAGAGAGTGAGAAAGAAAGAATGAGAGAGACTGAGAGAGAATGACCGAGAGAGAATAACTGAGAACGTGAGTGAGAGAGAATGAGACACAGAGAGAGAGAGAGAGAGAGAGAGAATGAGCGAGAAAAAATGAGTGTGAGAGGGAGAGAGTGAGATAGAGAGAAAAAGGGAATCATGAGTGAACATCTGAGTTCCCTTGAGTCTGCAGACATTCTTTACTGACTAGCAATCCACCCACCCACTCAGTTCCAAAGACGGAGACGATAACTGGTTGTATTCATTGACCAGGAATGCACTGCGGCATTTTCCACAAGGTTAGAGAAACGACATTTGAAAAGAAAAAAAGCCAGTATCATATTTTAATGACTAAAACAGTTTTTCCGCTGAGGTTTTTTGGAGCGATAATAAAGAATGGACTAAAAAGGATGGTTCTCAGATGGAATAAAAAAAAAATCAATTACCAACGTCTACAAAAAAAAGTTAAATTTTTAATTTCATTTATAAACACGCTAACTTCCTTGAATTATTTATATTATTCGGACTGTTATCCTCATTGCCATGTTATCCTAATCTTCATTTCTCAACGTTTCGGCCTTCTTCAGGTGACTGGAATTTCGAACCGAACCCCGTATTTCGTCCATCGGAGTAGGTTGTTCTAATTCCACGTGTCATGCCTCTTCAGGATGTCTCAGTTATTTCCCTTTAACTCACCCCTCCAAGAATTGGTTCACCACTGCTGTGGCCTTGGAATCTTTGGGTCTAGTCATTGGATATAATCAATGTCTATATCCTCTAGACCATGTGTCCATGAGGCCACAGCAGTGGTGAACCAAAACTTATGTTAAATAGGAATAGGCTGACTATAAAGGAATGATGCTGGAGCTGTAAAATATTTCATGCATTAATTTCAACTCTTTTTTATCAATAACTGCATTGTTTCTTTCCAGGTACGATGGAAGGCTGAAAGGTTCATAGGCTGACTATGAAGGGGTGATGCTCATTATTTCTTTCCAGAAGTCGTAACGTAGCTTCCCTGTGTCTTTTCTATAAATACTTTCATGGTAATTGTTCTGATGATTATTCCTTCAGACGATGGTAAGTAACTGGTGATTAAATGATTTTTAGGAAAATTTCAAAAGGAAAATGTTACCTCTTTTCCGAAAGATAAAGTGGGGGAAACATAAGGTCAGAATTAAAAATAGACTTATGGGTATGTCTTGATTAATCAATTAAATGCGAGATCTGCACTAGATAGAATAGAAAGCTCATAGAGCCGAAGTGGGAGAGGTATTTTTCTATGCCATGATAAATCGGAACATAGACGATATTCAGTCACCCCCCCCACGAGGGTGTCATGTGGCACAAGGCCTTTTTAACGTGGGCATTTCCGAGCCATTAGGCTCGGCCAAAAAATAGCCCATTTGAACCCGTATAAACGGGTTCAGGGCCGGTTTTACCTCCCCGAAGGAGACTCCGCCCTTCGGCGTAGCCTCCTTCGGGTTCCTCCCGCCCGTAGGAAGAGAGTTCAAACCAAGCAGTCTGTTCAAAGTGAACGACTGACTTGGTAGACAGCAACAAATATATTGTGATTGTAAGCAAATATGACGACATAATCAATTATTGTTTTTTTGTTATGTTGTTTGATAATAAACGATTTTCTCAAACAAATTATATTTCATATTCATAAGGAATTTAATTTCTCTTCTATGATAACTGTCATCATATTGATTATCAAATATTGCAGTCAACTTTTTATCCTTACAACGATCTAAATATATATAATAAAATTTAAGAGAATCACAGCAAATATGTTAATATTTTCACATGGCTAAAAATGCTGGACAAGTGTTCGGTCCCTTGTAGCACCTTAGAAAATACCAGGTTCCTCTATGCTCTACCTAGTCAGATGGGTGACCGCATGAGAATACTAGCTGCTGTAATCTCGGGTGTGTGGATGGTGTAGTAGATAATGACTGACAATTGAAAATCTGAGAGCCAAGTTCTAATTATATTCACGTATGCGCAAATATCCTTGGGAAAGGTATAAATCCACCTCTACTCCCCAGCCATGGGTTAATTAGTAGTACGTATCTTTAAATATATCCAAAAAACATCCTTGTCCTGGCTATGACGATATACTACATTTGCGTCCTAGATAAGACGATAAACTCCCTCAGACAGCAAGGCCTTTGATCAGAAGGTTTTGCGGAGTTCTGAACCACCTCTTTATTGCTGGTATCTCCAGGCCCACACTGACGCGGGTGGTAGCATCTGTTAGGGTCCCAGTTATGGACAAATAGTTAACCCTCAAACTGAGATCAAAACTCTACGAAAATATTAAAATAGGTTTTAATACCAGCAAGTAACATAGGGAAGGTTACTGAATAGAATAATCAAACGAAGGTTAGTAATGAAGGATAATACTTAGGACAAGAACAACACATATAAGATTCGCCAGCCGTGCGTAGAAGAAGTAGTCAACTGTTAGAAGTGACTCAAGTGAATTCCACAATGAATCTCCAACGGCAGGGTATCTACCAGCCGTCCCACGCGTTCAGATGTGGCACAAGGCCGAATTTAATGCGGGGTATTTTCCGTAGACCCCCGAAACGGGTAGCTGCTTCCCGAGACGAGACTCTGCCCTTCGACATAGCCTAGTCTGGGAATCCTCTCTGTCCGGAGGCAGAGAGTTTGACCAGTACAGCTGGAGACGAATCAAGACAGAACTGCAACTCCAACTGCAGAACAACATACAGTAGGTATGCTACAACAAATGGCTCGATGTAACCGTAATTTCTACGCTAACATTTTCTTCTACCGCACTTCTCGCTTGTGGAACCCTCTTCCAGCTTCTTGTTTTATAGTCAGGTATGAGCTTCAATAATGTAAAAGCAATGTCAGTCGGTATCATCTGTCGTCTTAATTCCTGTTTGCCAAGGAATTCGAAACAAATCTTTCTCTGTTAAAATCCACACGCTTGTGCAAATTAATTGAAACAAAACAAATAAGTCCGTTATTATTTACTTTTTTTTTTCGTATTTTTCCAATGAAACATGCCTTAGTCCAAATGTTCGTATGGCCATTCCACGAAGTCTTTCCTTGCAGAATGCACACAGATTCTCGATTGGATTTAAATCAAGAGAGTTTCTGGGCCAGTCTTCAGTACTTTGATTTGCTCACTGGTAAAGCTTGCGAGAGTTCAATTTTCGTATTCCCCCACTTTAAGCTCAATAGAATGTTATATTAATACAAGTTTATCTATTGCCTTTCTATCATGAACATTGTCGTATGTATCCCATGTTTCATCACCTGTCATGAGACATTAAAGGAACAATGAGTTAGAATCATGGATTCGTCGTTAATATAATTCGTTGCCCCAAAAACGGAAATTATTTTGGACAGAAAATAATATAACAAATTTTGCCAACAGACATTCTAGTTAGGTATCAAAGCATTGTATCTTTTAGAAGCGGTTCAGTTTGATAAGGAAATTCGAAACAAATCTTTCTTTATTAAAATCTACACCCTTGTGCAAATTAGTTATACAAGAAGATGCTCCACATCTTCTTGTATAACTAATGATCACTTCCACCCTTGTACAAATTAATTGAAACATAACGAATAATTCCGTTATTATCTACTTTTTCACGTATTTTCCAATGAGACATGACCCAATGCACATATAGCCATGAGGTTTGCTTCAAGAATTGAAAGACACTCTATCTGAATTTTGTCTAATCGGCTTTCATCTTTGGTACACTAACATACTTTAGTTTTGCGCAACAGTGGTAGTGTACACCGTGGCTTAATGAACGGAACGTCTACTCAAATACGAGTATCCACTAAAAAATACTTTGAAGTAATAAAAATATGTCGGATTAAAAAATAAATCCATTCATTGGTTAGAAATGATGAATATAAGAGATCTGTCTGAAAAGTAATGGGACTGGTGTCACAAACAATTTATTTCAATTCCAAACAACAAACTAAACCATTGTGAAAATTAATTATACAGGAATATGTGGAGGGCCATGATCACCTGCACCATTGTGAAAATTATTGAAAACAAAACGAATAATTCCATTATTTACTTCTTTTTCGTATGTTTTCTAATGAAACATGACCCAGTTCCCATGTTAGTACTTCGTATGCCCATTCCACGAAGTCGTTCCTTGCAGATTGACCACGGATTCTCGATTGGATTTAAATCAGGAGAGTTTCCAAGCTAGTCAATAGTACTTAGATTTGCTCACTGGTAAGTGTGTTCGTGCAGTGTTACAATTTTCGTACGCTTCCTTGAAGTAAGGTCCATCATAGACAATGACCGTAGGACAACTAATCGACAGTCGAGAGAATAGTGTTTGGGCTTGATGAAAATCTGATGCAATTACAGTATTATTCAAGGCTAAATAAATTTCATCATACACCCTAAAATAGATTCATATTACTGCACACTACTGCAAATGACCCAATCTGAGGTAAAAATAGAATCGATTACATCCTGTCACTCCATTGGGTCTAAAACTGATCGTATGTTGAAAGAAAGGAAAGTAAAGCGGTTGTTTCAATTTGCACAAGGGTGTATAATCTTAACCTCTACAAGTCTAGCGTTACACATTATCTATCGTACATATCATCATAATCTGTTTTTCGGACTCTTGCGACGATATAAGAAAGTTATAAAATAACTAACTACTTTGAATGGCTTCTAAGTTTTGTATTGTGTAATATTTAAATAAGACTAAATAATAATGATAACAATAATAATAATAATTTGGGGGAAATTTACGCAACGTGCCTTTCACTGATTTTACAAGTAAAAACATGTTTAATGTTCTTTTCGGATTAATAAGAATTAGTCGATGAGGCATTCAACAGAGCGTTCTCCATTTTGTTGCATTTAACATGATGTTGTCGGTTGATGCATGCTGTAGTCATTGGCGGACATGATCTGCATTCATTTTATCATGAAAGGAATTTTGGATGGAATTATTCATATTACTCCCAAGAATACGTTAGCTCTCATTTGTAGCGGCTTTGTGCTTTTGAGGACTGAGGAGCGTTATGCTGGACATTATTGATTCACTGGCGTCGGTATTGGGCTATTCCCTTGATTTTCTATTCATTTCCTGTACGAAAAGAGAGAGAAACACTAAATTGGTCCCTCCGATATATATATATATATA